TCTCTTGGTCCTCATCTATAACCCTTTGCCCCATTCTATTCTGATTTTATTAGAGACAGAATTTGGATTCCTCAGAAATTGTAGAATAATTTTCTTTTCCTTAACCAGTTGTACAAGGACAGCAACAACCAATCTCATCTGTGTAATGATGAGGATATACTTATATTTTGTTTTGTTTATTTGCTAGTAATATTACAGGGTTAGGGATTTAGGTGGGTATGTGTGTTTTGTTGAGTAGTTTGTTCACTATGAAGATAGATGGCAGAGGACAGAACAGGCAAGGTAGTTTGTTCTGGCTAGATGAGAGGGAACCCAGAACTACAGGGGTTGTAGGAGTATCTTTAAGTCTTTAAGTTGGGCACCCCTTTTGAGACTTTCAGAACCTTTGGTGGAGAGGAAAGGGGTGGCAGCTTCGAGCAGCAAAGAAGGGAAGTAGAAAAAACTCTCCCTGGAGTGACTTCCCAGTGATGAGCAGTGGCAGGTCCAAGCCCAGTTTCCTTCTCACTTTTGTTAATCTGCCCTTATGGTCTCTCTGTTTTCTTAGGGAAGGGGATGGGGTCCAAGTAACGGTTGGGAGAAGCTAAAGCTTTTGCCAGTCAGCTAGAAACTATCCATTGGAGGGTCTGTGGGCTTCACAAAGTCCCCTGTTAAATGGAAGTAGAAACTTTTGGGGAAGGTGAGAGGAATCAGTCAGCCAAGTGCTTCAGTGTGCACTGTTGAAACTTTGGGTTTTTCTACATAATTGATGGATTGTGTCCTAGGAGGACTTTTTGGTGGTTGTCTCTATTGCATAAGACATGGCTTTATCTGGTCTCACTAGCCACTTAAAAACCTCCTGACCTCTTTTTATTTCTGAGTCTTTTATAAATAGTTATAGACAGGGAAGGGGAAGGACAGGAAGTGGACAGTAAGACAATGCAGTTGATTTTGAATTTGCCAAGTAGTTTTAGAGACTAGGTCTGTGTATATGTATATATGCCTGTCTAGGGCTAATATTTAACATTACACACTGGGATCTGGGAGAAAAAAGAAAAAAAACTGTACAGTTGTCTTCCTTTTATTTTTAATAAAATAGGAAATCACCCACTTGCATTCCCCCCCTACACACACACCTTTTTCAAACAAGTGTTATTTGTGCTAGGAAAAGATTTGCTGTCATCATAATTTTAAAACTTTGCATTCTTATGCATCATAATTATATCTAGAATGTCTTGTACATTCTAAAATCATTTTTATGGATATAGAAAAGCTTTGGGGAAGTTCTTTTTCATCTAAAGACCTTTTGAGGGATAGTTTCTGCTTCTGTGTGACAGAATTATAAAATTTAAGCAGTAGAGTTGTGTTATATAGTAAAAGGATCTCAGTCACTTGCTAGCTCTATGATCTGGCAAATAATTTATTTCCTAGGTTTCTTTTTGGCACCTGAGGCATGAGTACATTTTATTAGATTAACTCAAAGATCCTTTCAGTTTTAAAATGCTGTGCAAGGCCTAAAAAAGGATTGAGGGTAGATCTACCCAACTAATTTTCTCAACCTTAATCTGAAGATAAATGCCTATTTATTATTAAGGCCACATAAGTATTAAAAATAATTTCATCTATGTTAGTGTAGTCTCACTACAATTGTAACAGTTAAAGTATATTCTATCACCAAGTTTTGGAATCCCCAGAACCTAACCAAATTTGTATTTTATCATATTGAGGCTTGCTGGTAATAGAAGCTTATAAGTATGACTTGGTCTTAAAAATTAACTTCAGAATGGAACCACGATTTGACTCAGCTATCCCTCTCCTTGATCTATATACCCAAAAGACTTAAAAACAGCATACTACAAGGACACAGCCACATTACAGCAGCATAATTCACAATAGCTAAACTGTGGAGCCAACCTAGATGTCCCTCAATGGATGAATGAATTTAAAAAAATGTGGCATATATACACAGTGGAATTTTACTCAGCAATAAAAGAGAATAAAATCATGGCATTTGCAGGTAAATGGATGGCATTGAAGAAGATAATGCTAAGCGATATTAGCCAATCCCAAAAAAACAAATGCTGAATATTTTCTCTGATATAAGGAGGCTGACTCATAATGGGGTAGGGAAGGGGAACATGGGAAGAACTGATGAATTCTAGATAGGGCAGAGGGGTGGGAGGGAAAGGGGGTTGGCAAGGATGGTGGAATGTGATAGACATCATTATCCAAAGTACATATGAAGACACAAATTGGTGTCAACATACTTTATATACAACCAGAGATATGAAAAATTGTGGTATATGTGTGTAATAAGAATCATAATGCATTCCACTGTCATTTATTTAAAAAAAAAAACTTCATCAACCCTAGCCAGAGCAATTAGGCAAAAAAAATTAAAAGGATATGAATAGGAAAAGAAGACCTCAAACTACTCCAATTTGCCAACGATATTCTATATTTAGAAGACCAAAAACACTGCACCAAAAAGCTTTTAGAATTCATAAATAAATTCAGCAAAGTAACAAGATAACACCCATAAATCAATTGTGTTCCTATACACCAGTGATGAATCAGCTGAAAGAGAAATTAGGAAAACTATCCCATTCACAATAGCCTCAAAAAAATAGTGGGAATGAATTTAACAATAGAAGTGAAAGATCTCTACAATGCAAACTGCAGAACACTGAAGAAAGAAATTGAAAAAGGTCTTAGAAGATGCAAAGACCTCCCATGTTCTTGGATAGGCAGAATTAATACCATACAGATTTGATACAATTCCTATTAAAACTCCAATGATGTTCTTCACAGAACTAGAAAAAGCAGTCATGAAATACATTTGGCAAAATAAGAGGCCCAGAATAGTCAAACTAATCTTTAGTGAGAAAAGTGAAGCATAAAGCATCACAATACCAGACTTTAAATTATAGTACAGAACTACAGTAACAAAAACAGCAAAATATCCACATAAAAATAGACACGAAGACCAATAGAACAGAATAGAAGACACAGAGACAAACCCACACAAATACAGTTATCTTATACTAGGTAAGGCACCAGAAACATACATTGGAGAAAAGATAGCCTCTTCAATAAGTGGTGCTGAGAAAACTGGAAATCCATATACAGTAAATGAAATTTATCTCCTATCTTTCACCCTACAAAAAACTCAATTCAAAGTAGATCAAGGACCTAAGTAAGCATTAAACCAGAGACCCTATGGCTACCAGAAGAAAATATAGGCCTGCATCTCCATTATGTTGTCTTAACTCAATTCAAAGTAGATCAAGGACCTAAGTAAGCATTAAACCAGAGACCCTATGGCTACCAGAAGAAAATATAGGCCTGCATTTCCATTATGTTGTCTTAGGAACAGACTTCCTCAGTAAGACTCCTATATCACAAGAAGTAAAATCAAGTATCAATAAATGGAATGGTATCCAACTAAAAAGCTTCTTTGCAGCAAGGGAAACAAGCAAGAGTATAAAGAGAAAGCCTACATAATGGGAGAAAATCTTTTCCACCTGCACCTCAGAGCATTAATCTCCTGGATATATAAAGAACTTAAAAAACTTAACACCCAAAAAACAATAACCCAATCAATGAATGGGCACTAAATAGGAACTGAATAGGCACTTCACAGAATAGGCATTGAATAGGCACTTCTCAGAAGAAAAAAATATGAATAGTCAACAAATATATAAAAAAATATTCAACATCTCTAGCAATTAATGAAATGCAAATCAAAACTACACTGAAATTCCATCTCACCCCAGTCAGAATGGCAATTATCAAGAATACAAGTAACAGTAAATGTTGGCGAAGAAATTGCTAGTGGGACTGCAAATTGCTGTAACCACCATGGAAAACAATATGAAGATTCCTCAGGAAACTTGGAATGGAACCACCAATTGACCCAGTTATCCTCAGCATATACCCAAAGGACTTAAAATCAGCATATTATAGTAACAGCCACATCAATGTTTATAGTAACTCAATTCACAGTATCTAAGCTATTGAACCAACCTAGATGCCCTTCAACAGAAGGATAGATAAAAGAGAATGTAGAATATTACTCAGCCATAAAGAAGAATGAAATTGTGGCATTTACTGGTAAGTGGATGGAACTGGTTACTATCATGCTAAGTGAAATAAGCCAATCCTAGAAAACCAAAGGCCAAATGTTCCCTCTGATACGTGAATGCTAACACATAATAAGGAGGGGGAGGAGGGAAGAATAGAAGCATTGGATTACACAAAGGGAAATGAAGGAAAGGGTGGGGGATGGAAATAGGAAAGAGTAGAATGAATCAGACATAACTTTCCTGTATATATGAGTACACGACCAGTGAAACTCCACATCATACACAACCACAAGAATGGGATCCTAATTAGAATAAGTTATACTCTATGTAACTATCATATATATATCATATGTAAAATTTTTAAAATCTTTTTTTGGAGTGGGGTACCAGGGATTGAACTCAGGGGCATTTTACCACTGAGCTACATCCTCAGCCCTATTTTGTATTTTATTTAGGGACAAGGTCTCAATGAGTTGCTTAGCACCTCACTTTTGCTGAGGTTGGCTTTGAACTTGCGATCCTCTTGCCTGAGCCTCCCAAGCTGCTGGAATTACAGGCATGCACCACTGAGCCTGGCTAAAATTTTAAAAAAATAAAAATTTTTAAAGAAC